CACCACATTCAATCCTTTCTTGCAAGAGTTGACTGCACCCCAGTTTCACTCTATTTTTGATTGGCCACATTAGGCCAGTTGTTCCTAAGACTTCTGTCCAGAATTTACAGGTGTCACTAACATGTGAGCTGGTCTTTAGAAGCTGTCCCATCACTATGCAAGTGTAACAACCCTCTGAATCAGCTCTGTCATTTACAGCTCTGTTCTCCACAGCAACACAAAGCCTTGGAGGGAGAAACCACGGCAGTGGTCTCTGGGGTGAGCATCTCTCCTCAGACTCCTACCTACCCGGCACCATCAGAATCTCTAACTCTTCAGCCCTCAAGGCAGGGCTCCTCCTCATCACCCACAGCCATTCTGCTCCTACAAACCCTGTGGTACTAATAATCTGCTCAGTCTCCTGACTTCTGCATCCATCACAATTTCTCTTCTGAATTAAGACTGTAAGGGTGGAGAGTGACTCTTCTTCATCCTGTAGCTACCCCCTTACTGTGCCTAGAACTGAGCCAGCCTTCCACCACACACTCAGTAATACTTGCGGATGGTTATGAAAGAGTCAGCCACTTTAAGAAGGGCAGGAGTCTGTCCATTGGCTTACACAAGGCAACATAAACAGTATAGAGCATGCTGCAGCCCAATCTTCCTGAGAGAACTTCCAGAAGGAAGTCCTGTTCCTTGGCCTCCTGGAACATGCTGGTGAAAGCTGCAGCCCTTTGGGGACTGTACAGCTTTGCAAACCTTCCTAAAACTCTTGGGCTCAGGGATCTATGAGGGAGAGGAGGCAGAAACATGGTAGAGCCAGAGGAGGTGAATGACTCCAGTTTGGGGGAGTCAGTTCTCTCTTAGCATGTGGATCCCAGTAACTGGGGTCAACTAGGATTAGGAGAAATGCTTTTACCCTTGATCCAGCTCACTGGCCTTGACAGAAACTTCCTGATATTCATTTTTATATTTCTCATAACAGAAATGGACATGAAAGCACTAAGGGAACAGTTACTGACCCTGAATCAATATAGTAATCTTGAGGTGGAAATATTAGATATATGGCTTTTCAAGAAACCTGTATTACTATGGTGTGTGCATATGATGTATGTTTGAGTGTGGGCACACATGTGTCAGAGTGTGGACACGCAACAGCAAGCATGTGGAGGTCACAGGACGCTGTCTGGGAGCTGGCTCTCTCCTTCCTCCATGGGTTCCAAAGACTTAAACCAGGTTTTCAGGGTCACATGGCAAATGTTTCTGCCAACTAAGCCGTCTCTCTGCCCCTTAGATTATTTTATGGGTATAAGTATATGCATATGTAATGATGTGTATGCCTGGTGCCCACAGAAGCCAGAAGATACCAGATCCCCTGAAACTGGAGTTACAAGTGGTTGTGAGGTTCTGTGTGGGTGCTGGGAATCCAACTCAGGTCCTCTGCAAGAGGAGAGACAACCTTTAACTTCCAAGCCATCTTCTCAGCCCCTAGGTACATTTCTTGATTAACACTCAGACATAAGTAACATCTGGCCCTAAAAACACTATTATAATTACTACGATACTATACTTATAGGCTTTTTCCCCTTAAAATCTACCATTTGGTTCAAGATTTCACTATTATTTTTAGAAAACAAAACAATATATTTTAACATATATTTCAAAGTAATCAAACCTTTAATGGCATGTACCTTACTGAATATTCTAGTATGCTAAATACTAAATCATTTCCAGTCAACTGATCTAAAGTATGGAGAAGGTGCCTCTAATTGTGCTCTTTATCATAGGAAATGAACATTTTTTAATGACAAATAATAAAAATTAATAAAATATGAGGAATTATATCTGCTGCTACATTTGATCCACAGATTAATTTTATCCCTGAGACAAAGGACATGTTGAAAGTGTGCTATTCCGGGCACTCTACCTCCTCCCCTGAGATCCATGGGGAATCCCTGGGCCTCCACCGCACAGGGGCTGGACAGGCTTTTAAACCAGTCACAAGTAGCATAGCAGTAAGTATTCTGCTAAGTTTTTTTTTTCTCAAAGAAGCTAGGCATCTGAGTTTGAGAAATCACGGCTTATAGAGTTTATAGTCTACAGCCCGCCTGGAGAGATGGCTCAGTGGCTTAGAACACTTCTGCTCTTCCAGAGGACCTGGGCTGGCATCTCAGCACCTACACGTGGCTCACAGCCATCTACAACTCTGCTCCCAGGAGATCTCATACCCTTTCTTGGCCTCCAGGGCACTAGGCATGCACATGGCAAACATGCATACATGCAGGCAAAACACTCATGTACATGAAAGAAATTTAAAATTTCTTCTACAGCCATAAAAAACAGCCACAAAAGTTCTGTTCTTGATCAAGTTTAGAAACAGACACAGGGCCAAAGGGTCCTGCCTACGTATTTGCCCTCCAGCAGAAATGTTCCCATACAGAGAATACAGGTGTGTGTCCCTTAAGCCAGTTTCTCTTTCTTCCTTCTGGTTCCTCCTCATGTCCCCTTTCATCATGGACATGACCGCCATGACTCTATGTCCGAAAGTCTTCAAATTTCTAATCTAGCCTCTCTTTCATGATTATACCTCTAAAAGTCTTTTTCTCGTTTTCCTTTTAAAATAGTAAAACACACAGAAAGTGTCAACAAGCTGTCAACAATCTTTCTAATATAGAGATAGTAAAACCCTACAGCCTTCCAGAGAATGACTTTCTCCTTCATGCCCCAACGTTCAGAATAATAAAATAAGCCTAGGTACCAAGTTGTTTGTGTGCATTTGCCTTTTTAAATCAAACTGTGTCTAGGGCAACTATGAGAATTTATTCCCAAACCCTCTATCATTCTAATGGGTGACGTTTATACCACCTGAACATGTCCCCCCATTCCTTTCTGTGGGTTAGAGAAAAGTCACTGCAAGACAAATGGAGGCCATGGTTCCAGAAGATGCGCATTGGCCAACAAGCGAGAGGAAGGCATGGCGCCTTCTGACACCACTGTGACTCTTTAAAGAGCCGAGCAGAGTTACGGCAGGGAAGAGAGAACAAAACCCACAGCATTGTTTTCATGTTCCTGTGAGAAGCAGGCCAGCTTTCCACTATGGTCTTTGTGAGGTCACTTCAGGCTTACCTGTTGCTTCTACCCTGGGAGGTTGGCTAGCCACTTTATTTAGAGCATGGCTTTGTCAGGAGTCAGCATAGGTAAGAAGCAAGAAATTTCTCAAGAAAGGTCTTGCTGCTGGGAGGAGAGAGGGTCACAGAGATTCCTGGGCTGCCTCAGCCTGCTGATTAATGCCTTCATCCTGATGCTAATTACACTGGAACAACCAAAGACTACCAGCCTGCAGTCTTGGCCAAATAACACAGATAAAAGCTATTCATCCTTTAGCATTTCCTGACAGCGTGCCAAGATAGGCACAAATCAGAAGGAGTTCCCAACCAGTGGCTTCATTAGGAATAAAACCAAACAAAGCAGGCAGTAGAGGGAGGGTTCCATTCAAGAATCCTCTAGAAGATCCTATTTGGTAAGACTTGTAGTTTAACAATACATAAACTAATATGATTTAATTGAGACTGACAGACAGATGAAGGCCATAGGTCTGTTTCTCATAGACATCTATTCCTTGAGCACTAAGGGCAAGTGAGTGAGCAGGAGACAGAAAGAGAATGCAGGAAGGTGACAGTGAACATCCACAAACAGCCATGCACATACACCGACTGATGTATTTTCTGCCCAGGCTTTCTGCAAACACACCTGGCCACCTGTCATTTTTAAACCACAAATAATGAAGTGCTCTTGCAAATAGTTACCTGTGAACGCAGTTATTGATTGAGGAACCAATTTTCTGCAGGTGTAAAAATTACATTTCTCAAAGGGAAAATTCAGGAATAGCCAGTTTACTCATTAAGCCTTTAGAATTCAGCTTTGGCTTGCTCTCTCTGAAAATGATTCTTTCATTTTTGGGTCACAAAAGTTTAACTGTAATGCAAGTGGATCCCTGGTGCTGTGGTTCAAGCCCTCTGTTCTCTTAGTAATCAAGGACTCTCGGGAGCTTTGTTTACATGGGTTCTCTTTCCTAACCTTTGTTATTAATATATTAGAAATTTAAACTGAGGAAAATCTGAATTGTATAAATCCATTGGAATCCACAATGGTAAAAACCATTACATTAAACCCACAGCATTTAAAAACTAGATATACTTTGGTTATATGGGTCAGTGGTTGGAAAGGTAATTTTAATAGCCTTTCCAGATAATTAATTATAGGATTATTCTTTGAAGCTATAAAGACAACAAGAAGTTCCTTCACAAGAGGGAACTGGACTGGAAGAAAGGCCAACCTTCATGTGGAGGATCCTGACCAGCACTACAAACGTGATACAGGCTGACAGGGAGGCTTCGTGAGAAACATCATTCCACCATCAAATGCTAGGACAACTCAAAATTGTCAAAGGCAGTCAAAAATAGGGGAGTCCCAGAAACTGGACAGTTAAGAACTACGGAGATGATGGCCTCGGATGCCAATGGCATCCTAGAACAGAGAAGGGACATTAGGCAAAAATAAGGAAGTGTGAATAAAGTAGAAACTTAATAATACTGTGTCAGAGCCCAGTTCAATCTACAAAATAGTAATAACATGGGAAATGTATCTGGTATTTGTTTATTACATGTAGCAAACATTTTAATAGACAGTATCAGTAATAAAGGAAATTAGATTTGGGAGTAGATGTGACACTCTGCACTAAGATATCTACAGAGAACCATGGAGCTGCCCTGGCCTCGCTGCCTTGAGAGGCATGCATGTGTCATAGGTTTTTCAGGGGAGAGTCCACGGCTCCTGGGGCACAGTGTATCTTCCAGTTCCTGAGAGACTGATGCTCTCCCTCAGGCAGTGAAGAGCTCAGGACACCTTGTGTTTCTCCGTTTGTTCCCTTAGTAGTCAAGGAAGCGCGTGAACTCGACAGGACAGTTGGTCTTAGACATTAATCTTGTGTACCCCGTGTGGCTTGCAAACACTGTATCCTAGCAACTACAACTGTATTGATCCTGGCAATTGCCATCATAGTCCGTTTCTGATAAAGGTTTTAAAAGTCTGCTTTTAAACTGCAAAAGTTTATTGCTCTCAATAAAACTGTCACAGTTTTGGTTGTGCTGTGGCCCCTCCAACCTGACCTGATTTTGTTCCTCGTGGCCATATCAGGTAACTTCAGCCCGGTAAGTGCAGATGTTTACAACTCTCAATTTTTCTTTTTTTTTTTTTTTTTGTTTCTTCCTCTTCCTCCCATTCCTTCCCTCCCTCCCTCCCTTCCTTCCTTCCTCCCTTTCTTTGTCTTTTTTCAGCTGTCTGAGAAAATATGTCACTACAGCACAGGCAAACCTAGAATTCACTGTGTAGTCTAAACTCACCTCAAACTCAGTGATCCCCCTGCCTCAGCCTCCTAACTGTTAGGTGTTTCTCACCAAAACAGCCTCCTCTTGTTTTTGATATAAACCTAAACTGACCTAAAATTTAAGTCTATTTAAATTTTGTAAAGAAGCTGACAAGAGGTATTTTTAAAAATATTAGTTTTACAGTAGAATCTGAAACAGTTCTGGCGTGTGCACAAGTGTGTGTGTGTGTTTAAAATTACACTTACTTATTAATGTCACGCATACATGTGGCAGTCAGAGGACAACTTGCTGGAGTTGGTTGTTTCTTTCTGCTATGTAGATTTATGAAATCCAGTTAGGCCACATGGCTAGTGGCTACTTGTTGAGCCATCATGCCCACCCATGTCCCCAGCTTTTTGAGGAAGAGTCCACCATGTAGCTCAAGCTGGCCTCCCAATCCTCCTGATTCAGTCTCCCAAGTGCTGAGATTGCAGGCATGTGATATCATGCCAAGCTTATACTTTTTGCATTATTATTTTCTGTTAGTCTTTCTGCATTTTTCTTCTGTCATATATGATTTTATAACAGCATGCATTGGTTATTGGTAAATGTTGTTCCAATAAACTAGACCTTCCAAGTGTTGAAATGTTTAATTATATAAGCACCAAAACAGTTAGCTAGACATGGGAGCAAACACCTGTTATTTCAGATGTAGGAAGGCTGAACAGGAGGACAAGGACTTCAAGGCCAGCCAAGTCACAGAGAGACACTGTTCCAACTCTGCTTCCCTACTTTTCCCATCTCCAAACTCCTGTAATTCTGCATTTGTTGAACTCACCATCAGTTTCACCAGAAAAAAAAAAAAGTTCAAGAACCAGGAAGCTGCCGGTATCACAATGACAGAGACTAGTGCCAAAATGATAACTTTCACTCATATGCTCAAACCTCATCACTGGTAACAAATATTGCTCGTTGTTTTACTTGAAATGACAGTCTTCACTTATTTCCAAGAAATGTCTGTCAAACACTGTGAGGAAATGTCTGCCAAGCTGAAAAACCACGGTCTGTCACTCAGTCTTTTCCATAAGAACTGGTAGTCTCTAGGGTGGGGTGGGGGGAGCATTCCCTCAAGGCAGCCATGATATTTGGTATACGGGAGTGTCCCATAAAGGCTACCTCTCATTCCCTCACAAAAACATATTGAGAGTACATGTTCTCAAAGTTGAAACTTAATGAAATTAACTACTTTTACTGCCCTGTGGCGCTGTCTCCAATTGGTTTGGCTGCTATCTCTCTCTTGGTGACTACCCAGCCATGGAGGACACAGCATGGTTTGGTGCCACTGTCTTAATTCAGCAGGTTTTCCTATCACTTCTGTAGCACCATTATTGGAGACCTCACCCCAGTGAGAAGAGCAGAGAGTGTGTGTGTATGGGTTTCAGGACTCCTGGGGGCTTGCAGAGACCCCTACAGGTCTGTGACCACCATGCAAAGCAGTGACATAAATAACTCCTAGGCATGCCACACCTCTGATGCAGAAAGTATACCCCGTTGGGCTTCACTTTTCTTTGGGGCAGCTCTGATAGGAAGGGAATGGCAGGGACAAAGTCCATCAAACACCCCCGCCCCCCTCCTCCAAGGCATTTCCACCATTTTTCATATCATAACAGGACAGAAAACAGCAATATTTATATGAAGGACCTCTCAGGACTGAAGTTATTTGCTTCCCCTGCAGGCTTCATGCTCTACCAAAGTCTCAAAGTTTTCCTTAGATGTGGAAATGTGCAAAGAGTCTGAGGAGACTTCACAACAGAATTGGAATTCTGCTAATGAGCCAAGGCAGAGCCTGCCCACACATTCCCAGCTATAATGTAGAGGTAACAAATATAGCATGTAGCTCCCAAACCAGCAAGAAGTTCAAGTCCTCCTTTTGCCATTTACTGTCTGCCTGACCTGAGAAAGTTAATTAACATCGCAATGCCTGCATTTCTCCACCTATAAAATGGGACAATCATAGCACTGCCGTTCATGGTATTAAACAAACTAATGTATAAAGAATGGCTAGAATGATGCCTTAGCATGACTATTAGCTATTATTTTTATAAGGGTGTCAAGGGTTCTCCTAGTTTGGTCTTCTGAGTATGACCATGCTGAATCAAACTGGTGAAGAGAGACGATGTCAAAAAACCAGATGTTGATCTGCAAGGTTACAGATGTGAGACTATGCATGGAAGAGAGAAATGTAGAGGTGGAATGCCCTGGACCTGCCTGGTTTATAGAATATGGCAAGGACTTCAAATTGAAACCATCTTTTACCTTATTAACTAACACGCTGACAGATGCACTGTTACCCATCTTAAAAGTCTATAAAAATGTTACTCCTGCCCCTGTGGGCCAAAACTCATCATTACAGACTGTCAACCCATTTGCTGCTTGCAGGGTGATTTTTTTTTAATGATGATGTCAGTAGCAGCAGCTGAGTGTGTCTTAGGCCTTCCAGAAACTAGCTTATGCAATCCAAAGCTGGAACCAACCACCCAGATGTTTACTCAAATACCTGGGTTGGATGTGTTGTTTTTATCTTTACTGAACATCTTTTGGCAGCTATGTAGTCTGGCTCATAAAATCATTATAACTAATTAAGAGTTTTAGGCTAAATCTGAAGTTGAATGATTTCAAGGATCCTCTTCATGCAACTATTCAGTCTCTGAATTGCCACAATTATAAGGCTGCAAAGAAATGCAAAATCACTATAATAAGAAAATAGTAGCAAGGAACTGACCACTTAAAAATTTTGCCCTTCTTCAGACATCCTTCACAGAGAGCTTAACAATGAGGAACAAACTGTATCCCTCATGCCAATGTCTTGTCAGTCATTTGGGGCTTGTCCAATGTAGGAAATACTCCAGTTACCATGGAATAAAGGGCAAGCTTACCCATGCCTGTAACTGGCAAATGAAGGGTCTATCTAACCAGAGGAAGAAAAAACTTGATAGGGGTAATGACACCACAGAAACGCCAGACAAAAACAACTGGAATGTTCATGCAATAAGATGACACCAAGAGCCGGGCGGTGGTGGCGTACACCTTTAATCCCAGCACTCGGGAGGCAGAGGCAGGCGGATCTCTGTGAGTTCAAGGCCGGGCTGGACCGACAGCCTCCAAAACAATACAGAGAAACCCTGTCTCGTAAACCCCCCCCCCAAAAAAAGATGACACCAAGGAATACATGAAATCCTGGAAAGGGTTTTCCATGCAACTAAACAACCAAGGCACGAAGTTAAGGATATAATGATTTATTGTTCTAGAATTTTGACAAGACAGTTAGGCCAAAAATAAATGGAAATCTTGTTATTGTTGATTCTGAGAGTTTAGTTCATGGCTGTTACTCAATCTAAACTTTTGTCAAATAAAAGTGAGTTATGTTGGTCTTATTTTCATTTTTCAACATTAAGTCCTGACCAACTTTCTTCCCATCATTACAGTAAAAAGATTATAAGGGGCATGGGATTCTAAGTGGCCTCTTTCTGATACCAAGTGTCCTGAAAATAACGAGGCTAGTAAAGAAATACAGACACTCACAATCTGTTCCAAGAGGCCTCTGTGGCCTGCCTGTTCCCTCTCCTCACTGGGCGTCCTACTACAGCGAGAGGACCAACTTCATCCTTCACAAGAGTCAAACTTGTGAGCCCAGGTAGATTCTCTCCCTGCCAGACAGGGGAACCTTAGCACGATGTGCTGCTGGTAGAAGCAGGAAGCCTCATACCAGCCACTGTAGGAATCAGAGGTCGGGTCTCCATCAAAGGCTCTTAATTAATCCTAACTGTACTCCTTCTAAAGCCCTAAACAACTGCAATGGATTCATTTCTGCTTTAAGGGTGACAAAATCATGCCTGCTAGGAGTAAGTTGGAGAAACACACATACACTACTCATCAGGCACAAGTGGCAATGGCCTTCTCTTTCCTCCAAACAGCTCTTCTGTACTTAGCTAAAGTAAGAAATCAGAGACCAAGGGATGATGCTCAACTGAGGAACTGTGTGTAAAGTTACTTGATATTCTACTGAGCACCGAGAAGTCTGGAACTTGAAAAGACACAATCCATATCTATAATGGATCTGCAACAACTCTCTAAGACGTGGTGTGTGTGTGCATCTACTTCATCTGTAAGGTAAATTATTTGTGATGTAATACCAATGCTTGATAGATTGACTTCCCTTTACCTGGCCCAAACAGCTCAGATATGGCACAGCAGCTGGACAATGAATTTGGGGAATGACAATTCTTAATGCACACTTCCTTAGATGACAGTAATACTACTTTCCTCTTTTCCTGACACACTAATCTCACCTCATTTTTTCTCTTTATAAAAATATTCTAGTCCATTTATTCATTTATTCCATGTACAGACCAGAAGGCAATTTATGGCAGTTGTTTCTTCTACCATACGAGACTGGGAATCGAACTCAGGAGGTGGGGCTTGTCTGCAAGTACCCACCGTGCCATCTCGCCAGCCCTTACCTCAATTTTTCTTACTTCCCACACATGTGACTTTTACAAAAGAGCCTTGACACTCATTTTGCTTTTGCTTCCAGCAACAGTTGACAGTTGCCTCTGCATCTCTAATTTTTTCTTGAAAGCCCTTCAAAGAGCAGATTTTTGTGCCAGTACCTATAAAAATTGCTTGGCAAATAGATGCGCATTTCCTGTATTGAGACTTTTACCTCAGTTCTGACTCTGTGAATAGCATTTTCAAATCTGAAACAGGCTGAAGGGAAAACATGAAGTAATTTAACATGTGAAAAGGCCAACCAGTCTGGCCAGGCCTGGCTACTTACTCTCTCACACAGCTCTTCAAATGTGCAGTCGGCAACGGTTCCACAGGCTTTATTCAGCCGCAGCTCTCTGCCTTGCACTTTTAGAATCCTTGGTCTAGTTACTATGGGAACATGAACAAAGACTCAATCTTGTCTGGATAATTACTATAAAATTCATCTCTTACAGATAGGAAATGCATAGCTTGATGAATAATAGCACATGATTCAACACATAAATTAGACAAAATGCTGATACAATGACTGCCACTTGAGCGTGGCATCAACCCATATACAGCAATGGGACTTATTAATTGGTCAGTGGAGATTGGGCATTGTGTTCTAAATGTATTCTCTTTCAAGAGAAATTAACTTACGTACAATCATTTTGTTTCTGGGCCAGCTCATCAAACAACTTATCCATGACAGCCTCCACATCAGCCTCACTTGTGCTACAGTGAAAAGAATAATAGAATATGAAATTAATAACACTTGAAGCCAACATCAAACAGCTGCCTGAGCCCGCTTAGCTTTTTGCCCATAAAAAGAGAGAACAGGGTGATATGCTCTAAATACAAACATTAGATTTAGAACACACTTAAAAGCAGAGAATATTAACTCTCAGGTAGACGATCCTGCCTTATTTGCATACATTGAAAGACTTCTGAGCTTCTAGATGTTTCCAGTAATGAGACGATACAGGCAGAGTAAATCCATTAATACTATGTGTACACAATGAGAAGAAAGCGCCTGACTCTCGCTTGCACGCCAAACAAGAGCAAATAGGCAAGGCAGTCAAGCATCCAGCAAGTACCCTTTGAAATCTCCCCTGAGAGGGTACACGTGAAATTAAACATTGAGGTGTTGTTAGAAAAACCAAACCAAGCTCCTGGCGGGGAGGCTCGAGCACTCAGAATAAAATTGCTAGCTTCCAAATACCAACTTGGTCTGCACATCAGAAACTTTATCAGACTCTGTACCTCTGAAGACACCTAGGACAGGCTCCTGTCAGGACGAGGACAAGCACAGACTACAGTTTCTCTCAAAAGTGTCCTTGTTCACAGTCCCCAAGCCCCCTCCTTCTGTGATGCTGTCTATTGCTGTCTATGGAGTGAAGTCTGTCACACAGCCTTTTGTATTCTAATTAGAGACCACCATATGCTTAAGAAGCGCACATATAGAAATGTGATAGTGCTATGGCCTCTTTTCTTCTCACTTTTTTTTTCAAAGAAGGGTTGATAATTTATCAGTCAATAGAAGAAAATAACTGGTAGAAGAAAGGCCATTCAAAAAAAAATACTTCAAGTGAAAAATCTAAGTTTTCTCTAATCCTACAAACAACTTACACAAGGTGACCTACCAATATGCTTAATTTTGACACAAATCAATCTTGGCTAATTGTGGAAGCAACTGACATCGCTTTAATAGTGTCCTGTTGAAAATTAGTCATTAAGACTAAGTTGAAACTAAACAAAATTGTTCTTAGCAGGTTGCTGGCATCTGACACATGACCACAGAATTCCTCAACTGTAGCAGATGCAACAACTTACAAATGCAGCATCGCAGTCACATGAAGGGCCAGTAGCCACCCAGCTCCGTGGGTCTCAGAAATGTCATTTGCCATCGTTGACTCCAGAAGGAATGCTACTTGACTTTCATAACATCTTATACGACCTTTAAATTCAGCCGCATTAAAGTTACTAAATGACACTAGATAAAGAATGATTCAGAGACGAGCACCCAAATGTATTTTTTTATTACACTTGCATATGGAGGCCAGAGACAAACTCGTGGGAACTGCTTTCCTCCTTCTACCATGTGGGTTCTCAGGTCCAACTTGGGTCATCAGGCTTACCAGCAAACACTCATATCAGCCCCGCAAAGAACGTTCAAAGTTACCACGAAACCACAAAGTCAATGTCAGTGTCACATCCGCCACATGGATGTTGAGAGGTCATTCTTGGAATTCATTTAGAACAATTTCTACCATGCAATGGTGCATGCACACACACAGATTTTGTTTGTTTGTTTTAGAAGTGGTGTGTGTGTGCATGCATGTGTGTGTGCTTCTGTGTGCTTGAGTGTGTATGCATGAGTGTGTGTGAATGTATGTGTGTTAATATGTATATACAGAGGTGCAGTGCATTGTGTGTGCTGACACCTGGCTGACAATTGTTCCCCAGTTGGCCAGGCTGACTGACCATGAACTCTAGGGCTGCCTGTTCCTGAGCTTGGCCCCTCCCCCAGCATTGGGATTGCATAAGTGCAACTCTGTGCCTGGCTTTTATGCGGGTGCTGGGAATCCAAACTCAGCACCTCATGCCTGCATGGCAAGCACTTTACCAGCTGAGTCACCTCTCCAGCCCTGACTTAAAAAAAAAAGTTACACTACATAGGCAAGGCTGACCTTGCTTGTGCTGCTCCTGCCTCAGCCTCCAGAATTCTTGGTTAATGATCTATTTAAAATTTATTTTATTTTACTTCTTAATACCGATGTATGTTGGGGAGCATACATATGCCACAGTGTGCGTGTGAGATCAAAGGCCAGCTTTTGGGAGTCAGTTTGTCATGGGTTCTGGGAAGTGAACTCAGGTCAACAGGCTTTCTCAGCAAACACCTTTACCACTGAGCCATCTCACTGGTCCTAATGACATACTTGTCAAGGCAGATAGAATGGAGCAAGCAGAATAGGAACACAACTCATCAGGACAGTACCTGCCTAGCATGGCAAGACCCTGTGTTCAATCCCTAGCAACACACACACACACACACACACACACACACACACACGTCAATAGTTCCTTCATAACAAGGTTAGTATTTCATGTTGCATTTTATTTTGGTTTTTGAAGACAGGTCCTGCCATGTAGCCTAGGCTAGCCTATAACTTGCAACCCTCCTGCCTCCATCTCCTGAGTGATTAAAATTATAGAACTGTACCACCACACCTAGCACAAAATGATTTTTATTTCAACATTATCTTATAAGAATTTCATAACTCTACCATAAACAGATACTCTGAAGTTCCAAAACACAAAAAGGCATCAGTGTTAAGTAGTCCAGAACTAAAGGCATTTCATAAATGCAGTCAGTGTGACATGTGGCTGCTACCCATTTACTCGCATGCACTTGGCCTCAGGAGAAGCATGACTGGTGCAGAGGACAGGAACAGCCTCTTCAGGCTACCTTAAAGCAGGCAGAGGGGTGGCCTGCATGCTCGGGCGCTTTTGATGTCACTGGGTTGATATGAAAGAAAGAAGGATAGCAGGAAAGGAATTCTTACCATAGACAGATATTCTCAAATTCCTTAACAACTCTACTCAGAGCACAGGCTTTCCTAGTTAAAGAGGTGCAGCCATTGGGGTTCTCTAAGTAGTTTTACATTTTTATGTAATATTTGTGAATGTACACAGGATGTGTGTATGCAGTTATTGGGATTCTGTAAGTAGTTTTACATTTTTATGTAATTATTGTGAATGTACATAGGATGTGTGTATGCAGTTATTGGGGTTCTGTAAGTAGTTTTACATTTTTATGTAATTATTGTGAATGTACACAGAATGTGTGTATGCAGTTATTGGGGTTCTGTAAGCAGTTTTACATTTTTATGTAATTATTGTAAATGTACACAGGATGTGTGTATGCAGTTATTGGGGTTCTGTAAGTAATTTTACATTTCTATGTAATTATTGTGAATGTACACAGGATGTGTGTATGCAGTTATTGGGGTTCTGTAAGTAGTTTTACATTTTTATGTAATTATTGTGAATGTACATAGGATGTGTGTATGCAGTTATTGGGATTCTGTAAGTAGTTTTACATTTTTATGTAATTATTGTGAATGTACACAGAATGTGTGTATGCAGTTATTGGGGTTCTGTAAGCAGTTTTACATTTTTATGTAATATTTGTGAATGTACACAGGATGTGTGTATGCAGTTATTGGGGTTCTGTAAGTAGTTTTACATTTCTATGTAATTATTGTGAATGTACACAGGATGTGTGTATGCAGTTATTGGGGTTCTGTAAGTAGTTTTACATTTCTATGTAATTATTGTGAATGTACACAGGATGTGTGTATGCAGTTATTGGGGTTCTGTAAGTAGTTTTACATTTCTATGTAATTATTGTGAACGTACATAGAATGTGTGTATGCAGTACATGCGGGCCATGGAGCACACTCTGTGGGGTGTTCTCCCCTTCTGCCTTTACATGGATTTGGGAGGGTCAAAGCCTGACCATCAGGCTTACACAGCAAGTGCTTTACCCACTGAGCCATCTTGCCAGGCTGCATTAGCTTTTTTAATAGATTTGCATTAGAAATATAAAGAGAAAAAACTTTAATTACCAATTATATTAATCTAAAAGGCCTAGTTACCTATCATACATTTCCAAATCAAATTTAAACAGCTTTGAGTATGTCTTGCACTTGTAACAAAAACCTTAGGCGGTTCTAACCTTGCAGTGTGTCCCAGGGGAACAGCGAAAGCTTTCCTTTGTTGGACCGCCACGCAGCAGCGAGCTCCTCACACTGCTCTCCCCTCGCTGTCCAGGTCACAGCATGACCGCCACGAGGTCACAGAAGGGGAGACGGAGATTCAGAACTATGTTGCCTATCTAGTCTGAACACACAAAGACATAAACTGCCTGTACAGCAGAAACTATATATATTTTTTTAAAAGTTCTGGTCAAACTGGGAGCACTATAGCAATATTTATGTCATACCATATAAAAAAAGTATCACCACATAAAAACTCCAACAGAACAACTCTCAAAGGACACTTAAGAAGTTGCATGAAAAGATGGCCCAGTTGGTAAGGGGCCCATCGTTCCTTCTTACTAAGCAACAAATGCAAAGGGAAATCATGCCAAGTACGGCTCATGCCTGTGATGCCAGTCCTTGGAAGTTGAGGCAGGAGGATGGACTAGGGTTTGGACAGGAAATGGCCCTCACAGGCTCATTGCTGGGGATACTGCTGCTAGTTGATGCCCGTGAGAAGTACAGCTTTGGCTGCATGAATGGATTGATATGTTAGCAGATTAAAACCATGACAGGGAGTAAAAGTAGTGTTAGGACACGGGCTTAGATGGAGGATCACGAGGGAAGGCAGACACGTGTCCAGGTTCCCACCACCATGGCATTCTGCTTTACTATATGCCTTAAAACAACAAACTCAACAACAGTGAACAGAAGCCTTCAAAACAACGGGATCAGATAAATCATTCCTCCTTTAAATCATTTCTCTCAGGTATTTGGTCATAGCGACGGTGACTCTGTGCTGATGGTAACATTAAGAAGTGGCCTGGTCAATAAATCCATTCCTGAAGTCAGAGTTGTTGGGATGGAATCACTCCCTAAATGTCCATATTAGGAGCTTGGTGCTAGTTTGCTGTTGATCTCTGTGGACCATGAAACAGAGCGAGAGCTCAAGGCGGAACCTGGTTAGTCTGAATCCTTCCCCCTGCCCACAGCCACCACTTCTCAGGCGAGGCTCCACTTCCTAAAACTTCTACAACCCCCAAAAGCCAACAGCTGAGATGAAACACATGAGCCTGTGGTTATTTTTTACATATAATCCATAGCCACAAGGCTACTCCATTCATAGGAAGTCACCTATGAAATAATAAAGGCTAACTTCTGGAACAAAAAGGAAAGGAACCTAAATAGATATTCAGTGATGGGGAATGTGATCAAGTACACTTAGATCCACTTAACAAATGGACTACCAAGCAGTTTGGGATTCTGTTGTTGTTGGTTTATTTGTTTACATATCTCACAAAGCTGACAGAATTGCTAACTTCCTGTAATTTCTGAAGATGTCAATGAGCCTTGTGTTAGTTTAAATGTAATTGTCCCTCATAAGGCCATAGAGAATGGCACTATGAGGAGGTGTGGCCTTGTTGGAGGATGTGTGTCACTGAGGGGGTGGGCTTTGAGGTCTCTTATGCTCAAAATACTCCTAATTCAGACCACTTCCTGTTGCCTGTGGGGAGGGGGGGACGCTGTTACAGTAACTACCTGGAATGAAGAAGGAAGTTTGTCACAGGATGAAGGCCTTGAGAGTTTAAAGACTTGTGTCATTTTGAGTTCACTTTCTCTGTTTCCTATTTGTGTTCAAGATGTGAGCTCTTAACTGCTGCTATAACCACCAAGCCTTTGCTCCATCATCATGGATTCTAACCCTCTGGAACTGTGAGCCCAAATATATTCCTTCTCTATAAGTTATCTTAGCTATGATATTTTATCACAGCAACAGAAAAGAAATACAATGCCAATGTTCAGCATAGTTGTGTATCGGTACACAAAAATACCACAGCTTCTACAGTCTTATTAGAATTTTACAATTCTTTCCTTTGAGATTATTATGGTGCATGCATTGTAAATTACTTCAATGTAAGTTGCTTCAAATTATTTTTATGTGTAGCTATAACATATAATACATAATTGAATTAATGAAATAGTTAAACAAGAAATATTTTCTTAATGAAATATCAAGATTATATAAAAATGTAAAATTACATTTCAAAATATCTAAGATTCCCTCCCCTGCCCTCCCCCCACCCCAGTTTTTTCTAAATTTTAAGATTTATTTTTCCTCTATGTGTATGGATGTTTTGCCTGCATGTGTCATGTATGTCTGTGTGCCATGTGTGCAGTGCCTGCAAAGGCCAGAAGAGGGTGTTAGATCCCCTGGAAATGGAGTTGTGGGTGGTTGTGAGCATCATGTAGGCACTG